TTGCGCGGTATTTGTGGTGGTCTCTCGATTCCCTATACTATCATTGGAGATTTTAACACTACTCTTCATGAGAATGAGAAGGATGGGGGGAATCAATGTGAATGCTAATCACTCTAATCAGTCTTCGGACTTTATCCTTGATATGGGCCTTATTGATCCAGGGTACCAGGGGGATCAGTTTACCTGGACGAATAAACGGATGGGTGCTGCATGTATCGTGAACGGTTAGACAGGGCCCTGTGTTCTCAGTCTTGGCTGGACCACTTTCCTGATACCCTGGTAAAGCACTTTACAGATCAAGGATCGGACCATCGGGCACTCTTACTGTCTGACAAGCCTTATGTCCGCAATAGTCGCCCTCTGTTTCGATTTGATGCGCGATGGGCTGAGAACCCTGAGGTTCGAGCCATGGTGGCGTATACTTGGAAAGAGGACGTTCAGGGAACCCCCATGTTTAGATTATGGGAGCGCCTCAAGAGGCTCCGACACCTTCTGTATGATTGGAGCCGTGCAGGGACGACTAGTTCTTTGAGAAATATAAAAACCCTGCAGACGGAAATAGATCGGCTCAAACAGGACCATCCCATTAACTGGGTGGAGGTCCGTTCGCTTGAGATGGAGTTGAGTAGACAATGGGAAGCGGAGGAAGAATACTGGCAACAAAAGTCCAGGGTTCGTTGGCTTAAGAAAGGGGATCAAAACTCATCGTATTTCCATACGGTGACGAGAACCCGCCGAAAAAGGAATTTGTGAGCGGCCTTCGGGATGAGGATGGTACTTGGATCACGGATGAAAAAGGCAAGGCGAATATTGCTACAAATTTCTATAGTACCCTTTTCACCTCGGAAAATCGGGGTGCATGATATGTATAGTCGGATCGATAACTTGCCTATCTCCCGAAGTGTCACGCCAGACATGAATGAGAGTTTAACGGCGGTAGTACTACCAGAGGAAATTCGCCGGACTGTGTTTGCGATGGGCTCGAAACAAGCCCCGGGGTCTGATGGTTTCACTGGGAAATTCTTCAAAGCCTTCTGGGATATTGTGGGTCCTTCAGTGATTGAAGCAGTCTGCTATTTCTTTACCTCTGGCCGGCTGCCTCCGTAGCTTTAATCATACTTGGCTCACATTAATACCTAAAGTGGAGAATGTGGAGTCAATGAGGCAGTTGCGACCTATAAGCTTATGCCAATTTGTTTACAAGATCATAACCAAGATTATGGCAGAGCGTTTGTCCGTTATACTCCCCAGGTGGTGTCGGAAGGACAGAATGGTTTTATTAAAGATCGTCAGATAGTGGATAACATCTTACTCGGGCATGAGCTCATGCATTACTTAAAAACCAAAACTCGGGGTAAGAAAGGGTTCATGGCTCTAAAGGTTGACATGGAAAAGGCCTATGATAGAGTCGAATGGCCCTTTCTCCTTGCTGTTTTGGAAAAAATGGGGTTTAATGGCACCTGGGTAGGTTGGATCAGGGAATGCCTCAGTTCTGCTTCCTTTTCAGTTATGATGAATGGAACCCCGTCAGGTTTCTTTTCTTCTTCCAGGGGCCTGCGCCAAGGGGATCCTTTGTCCCCCCTCCTTTTTGTGCTGTGCACTGAGGGGTTTGCGGCGCTTCTCCGACAAGCTATATCTATAAAAGGCTAGCAGGGATTAGAGTGGCTCCTTGGGCGCCTAAACTGACGCATTTATTTTTTGCTGATGATTCGTATTTATTCCTGCGAGGGAATCTGCAGGAGTGTGAGAACCTGATTGAGGTCCTTAATGAGTATGAGGAGCTGAGTGGTCAGCGTGTGAATCTTGACAAATCAGCGGTTTGCTTCAGTAAGAATATCGTGCAACAGGATCAAGAGTTCCTGGCGGCGGTCTTAGGGGTGGGGGCAGTGGGCGTTCATGATAAATATCTGGGTCTCCCGACACTTATTGCTAAATCTAAGATGGAGACTTTCCGTTTTTTGGAGGCCAAGTTGTTGGAACGGCTCCAAGGATGGAAGCAGAGAACGTTATCATGGGCAGCCAAAGAACCGCTAATCAAGTCTATTGCGTTGGCCTTGCCTTTGCATGTGATGTCTGTTTCAAGCTCCCATTATCCTTATGCCGGACTGCTAGACAGGCATGTTGCTCGTTTCTGGTGGGGTGAGAATGAAGGACATTCAAAGTACGGTGGATGTCATGGCGGGACATGTGTAGAAGTAAGCATGATGGGGGAATGGGCTTTCGCAGATTTGAACAGTTTAATCAGGCGCTGCTTGCTAAGATTGGCTGGGTATACTCAGTGAGCCAAATTCTCTGCTGGCCCAAGTCTATCGAGGCAAGTATTTCCTAATGGCCATTTCCTTTCAGCTAAAGCTCGATCTCGCCCATCTTGGGGTTGGCAAGGTATCTTGTTTGGCCGTCAGCTGTTGGAGATGGGTTTACGCTGGCAGATTGGGAATGGGCGCTCGGCATCTATGCTTCATTCCACTGGATCCCTGCTTTCCAATTTGAGCCTGTACGGTGTAATCCTTTGGTTTTGCCTGAAGGGGGTGACCCGGTGGTGGCGGAATTAATCATTCAAGGAGAAGGGCGGTGGTGTGAGCAGAAACTGAGTCAATGGTTCGACCCAGGGACGTGCCGTTTTATTAAAGCTATTCCGCTCCCACGGGAGAATGTGGAGGATAAGCTCATTTGGTTTGATACGGCAGATGGGAATTCTCAGTTAAATCGGCCTATCATCTGGCGTGACTTTGGAGAAACGGAGGGGACGGTGGAAAGGCTATGGTGGACTGGATGGATAGGGCTAGTTGGACTTCGGCTGTGGGAGGCTAGAATTCCGCCGAAGCTTAAGGTGTTTGTTGGCAGGTTTTCAATCGGATTTTGCCAACCACCGAGGCTCTGCGTAATCGTCATGTTCCTGTCCAGTCTCGATGTCCGGTTTGTTGGGAGGGCCCTGAAACTTGGAGCATCTTTTTTTGGATTGCCTGTCGCACGAGCTCTATGGGGGGCGGCGGGTTTGGGAGCATTTTGGTGAGGGGCTACCACGTCATAATTTTCCCTCTTTCTGAAGAAGTTGCTCTCGTTAGTCTCCCAACCTTCGCAGTGGATGGAAATTATTGCTGTACTGTGGCGAATTGGAAATCCCGGAACTGGGTAGTATTTGAAGGCAAGCCAATTTGGTCTCCCGGCTCTGATGCGTCAGTTTTGCGCAACAGGTTGAGGAATGGGAGCTGCTTTTCCAGTGGAGGGGGGCTCACCATTTCTGGAGTTAGGGGATCATGGGCCTCATTCAGTGGGATCGTTCGAGTTTGTCTGTAGATGGGATGGGGCCACTAGGAGGGCTCCCATTCGGCAGGGGGAATGGTTATTTTGACACCCTCAGAAGTGGTCCTCAGAGCTCATGGGGTCTCTTTTCCGGGAATGGATGATCCAGCGATTGCTGAGTTGTTGACGTTGCGTGCGGCGGTTTTTTGGTGTTTGGAGCAAGGCTTGGGATCGGTTCGGTTTGAAGGAGATGCTAAGTCATTATTGATAAAATCAGCCGTAGAGAGTCAAGGATAGCAGGATGGGTGCTGTTTTGGAAGAAGTGATAAATTTGTTTGCCAGCAACCCTGGATTCAGTATTCGGTTCGTAGGTCGGCGTCATAATAGGGTAGCCCATGTTGTGGCTAGAAGAGCCCTCTCCTTGTCTTCGACTATGGGTCGTGTTTTTAATTTTCAGGCCTGGCTGTTCTCCAGGGTGTAACTATCTTTTTGATATCAATATAAGATTATCTTTTGTCAAAAAAAAAAAAAAAAAAAGTTCATATCGTTCTATAGATTAATAATAATAATAATAAGGATAATAAAGTGAGTAAATAATTAAATATTAATTGGTTTAAAAAAATGAAAGAGTACAGAAATGGGTGCAAGTCCCATTGCTGCGTTGTTGTTGGTCGAACTTATCCTATTAGAGTGAAAGACCGACTTCTTTTATACTATTTTTAAAATTAAACATGGTGGTGGTAGGGCAAATAAAGTTTGACCCCAAAAAATCATTCTATGGATAATGTAATTTAGAATATGGTGTATTTTTTTTTCTTTTCCAATGTTAATACTCAATACATGTATTGTACAATTACGATTCTAAACTATCAAAAATTATTTAGATTTTAAATGAGTTGTGATTTAGTGGACGAGAAGCCTTTTTTCGTTTTCATGTTTAAATTTCGATATTTAATTGTGCTAACATTTTGTAACACAAAATTGAAAAATGGGCACACATGGTTGATACATGATCTTATTAGGATTTAATAGTGAGATTATCTTATGGGTTAATAACGAGTATCCAACAATCCAATTTTTATTACAAGCAACAAACTCTATCTTATCACATTAAAACTCAATATTTTTTATTAATCGCTTACTGGAACTCCTCAGTTTTACATCGGTATTAGATTATTCATGGTATGAACACAAAGCAAATGTGTTCACCCAACAAAGAGAATATATATTGCTTGCTATGATTGGTAAAGATGCTGGAAAAAGAAACCTTGTTTAGTTTGTGTTTTCACAACCCATTATTCGTGCTTTCATACAAAATTACGAAATGAATAAAAAAAACACTTTACAGCTTAGTTAGTTCACTTATCCTCAAACTCCCCCTTCAATTCCAATTTTTAAACAAAAAAACAGCTATATTATTATTATTCTCTTTTGTCCATACTAATCTCTCAATTCTCCCACCAAAATCACTTATCCATATGGATTAGGATTGGATTTTTCTCCTCTTGTCCTTTGAAGTTAACACAGGGAAAATTCATCAATAAAATTTAATTTTTATCAACAATCCTTAATTTTTTGATTCTCATTACCAACTAATCCTCCTCATTATCATCATAATCACTTCATTTTAATTAATGTTATTTTAAAATTAATTAATTAAAATCCAAAAAGACCGTTTTTTGTTCTTCCCATAAAACCTCTTTCTCTCTCTTTCATATATATTTAATTTTATTATAAAACCTCCAACTCACATAAAAAATTTCTCCCATTCTTCTTTCCTTCTTCCTTCCCCCTTTTCCGCTGTTCTTCTTCTCTGATGCGATTTTTCAGCTGAACCAAAAAAAATGTTGTCTCAGTCTTGCATAGAGTGTCTGAGTTTAATCTCCGTCGATGATTTCCGCGTCATCAATCGCCGGCCGACTCCCGCGGCCATCAAGCTCCCTTCTTCACCCCCTTCTTCAGTCCCCACCCAACATCAGCAGCAACAACAACAACCCAGATGCCCGCCTTCTCCGGCCGCCGCGCCGCCGTCGCCGGAGCGCCGGGTCGTGGTGGCGAACCACCTCCCCATCCGGGCCATACCCGACCCGAACAAGCTCTCCACGGCGCCGTGGCGGTTCGAGCTCGACGAGGACTCCCTCTACCTCCAGCTCCGCGACGGTTTCTCGCCGGAAACAGAGGTCTGGTACGTCGGCTGCCTGAAGCCCGAAATCGACCCGAAACATCAAGAGGAGATTTCACAGACGCTGGCGGAAAATTTCCGGTGCGTCCCAGTTTTCCTGCCGCCCGATGTGCTCAACAATTTCTACCACGGCTTCTGTAAGCACTACCTCTGGCCTCTGTTTCACTATATGCTGCCCATCTCGCCGGCGCACGGCGGCGCCGCCCGATTCGACCGGAGGAATTGGCAGGCATACGTCTCGGCGAACAAAATCTTCGCGCAGAGAGTGGTGGAAGTGCTGAATCCGGAGGAGGATTCGGTTTGGATCCACGATTACCATCTCTTGCTCCTCCCCACTTTTCTCAGAAAAAAGTACCACAGAGTGAAATTGGGGTTCTTTCTCCACAGCCCATTTCCCTCATCGGAAATCTACAGGACGATTCCCGTGAGGGAGGAGATTCTTCGGGCTCTGCTCAATTGCGATTTGGTAGGGTTCCACACTTTCGATTACGCCCGCCATTTCCTGTCCTGCTGCAGCAGAATGTTGGGGCTGGATTACGAATCGAAGAGAGGGTATATCGGATTGGAGTATTTTGGGCGAACTGTGAGCATCAAAATCCTGCCAGTGGGGATTCACATGGGCCAGCTCGAATCGCATCTCAACGGCGGCGAGATCGTGGAGAAGGTGAAGCAGCTGAGAGACAAGTACAAGGGGAAGACCTTGATTGTTGGGGTCGACGATTTGGACATCTTCAAAGGGATCAGCCTCAAGTTTCTCGCAATGGGGAGATTGCTGGAGCAGAATCCGGATTTGAGAGGCAGAGTTGTTCTTGTCCAGATTTGCAACCCAGCAAGGAGCAAAGGGAAAGACGTCAGAGAAGTGGAGGACGAGATCAATTCGGTGGCGAATTCGGTGAATCGGAGGTTTGGCAAAGCAGCAGAGGGTTACAGTCCGATTGTGTTCATCAATGGTGGAGCTCTGACAACTATGGAGAAGGCTGCTTACTACGCAGTTGCAGAATGCTGCGTAGTGAATTGCATCAGGGACGGTATGAATTTGGTTTCTTACAAGTACACTGTTTGTAGGCAGGGGAGCCCTGTTCTTGACGGTGACAAGATTGAGAAGAAGAAGAAGAGCGTCTTGATCGTTTCGGAGTTCATCGGGTGCTCCCCGTCGCTCAGCGGGGCGATCAGGGTGAACCCGTGGAACATCGAGGCGGTCGCGATCGCGATGTCGGAGGCGATCACGATGAAGGACGACGAGAAGACGATGCGCCACGAGAAGCACTACAAGTACATCAGCTCCCACGACGTGGCCTACTGGGCGAGGAGCTTCGACCAGGACCTCGAGCGGGCCTGCCGGGACCACTACAACAAGCGGTACTGGGGGGTCGGGTTCGGTCTCGGGTTCCGGATCGTCGCCCTGGGCCCGAGCTTCAGGAAGCTCGAGATCGAGCCGATCCTGACAGCCTACAGGAAGACCTCGTCGTCGTCCAGCAGGCTCGTCCTGCTGGACTACGACGGCACCATGACCCCACAGGCGTCCGTCGACAAGTCCCCCAGCGACGAGGTCATCGCCGTCCTGAACCGGCTCTGCGACGACCCCCGGAACGTCGTGTTCGTCGTCAGCGGGCGGGGGAAGGAGCCGTTGAGCAAGTGGTTCTCCCGGTGCCCCAAATTGGGGATTTCTGCGGAGCATGGTTACTTCACTAGGTAAAGTTGTCACAAAAGTGTCACTTCATTTTTTTTTAAGTGTCAGCAGAGCTACTAATACGCGTATTAGTAGCTCTGCTGGCAATGTTGGTGTCAGAACCAACATTTTTCCTGCGTCATTTCTGACGCATAATTCGAACGCAGTTGGAAGAGGGAATCGTCGTGGGAGGCGTGCCACGTGGTGACGGACAGCGACTGGAAGAAGATAGCGGAGCCGGTGATGGAGCTCTACACCGAGACGACGGACGGGTCGTTCATCGAGCACAAGGAGAGCGCATTGGTGTGGCACTATCAGGAGGCAGATGCGCATTTCGGGCAGAGTCAGGCCAAAGAGCTCCTCGATCACCTCGAGAATGTGCTCGCCAATGAGCCTGTTGTTGTCAAGAGAGGACAGCACATTGTTGAGGTCAAACCCCAGGTAATTAACAAACAACATAGTAAAACTTTGTCTTCATCTATTCAATTTTTCACTTCAGTAGAGATTCAATTAAGTAAATAGCATGGTTCTGTTTCCTTGTTTGTGTGTTTCGTAGGGAGTGAGTAAAGGCATCGTGGTGTCGAATTTGATCTCGACGATGCAGAGCGAGGGGAAGTCGCCCGACTTCCTGCTCTGCATTGGGGACGATCGATCCGACGAGGACATGTTCGAGTCGATAGCGAGTCAGGTCGAGAACCCACACTCGCCGTCGATTGCAGAGGTGTTCGCCTGCACGGTCGGGCAGAAGCCGAGCATGGCCAAGTATTACCTTGATGACACTAGCGAAGTGATCAAGCTGCTTCAAGGGCTTGCCAATGCTTCTTCAGGAGTAGAGAGACCATGGAATCGAGGTTTATGCAAAGAAGAGGATGAAAGGTAACCAAACCCTAGCTTCTTCAAAAAATGGAGAGTATAGAAAGAGAAAGATGGTTAGGAGAGTTCAAAAATAGAGAGCCTAAAATGGTGGTAAAAAAAGAATGAAAGAAAAGGGTAGATCTTTGTACAGAAGATGATGATTATGATGATAGGTTTACTTCAGCTTACAGCATGTGGATTTCTTTTCCCCCCCTGTTTTGTTGTTGGTTTTGTGATGGGTTTATACTTAACAATTCTCATATTTGACTGAATTCATATAATCCATTCTTTCATTGCAAGAATTGGTTCCTTTATTTTGAAGGGTGATTTTGCACATTGTTAGTTTTCAATTAGATAGGAACACCTACATTACAACTACTTTTAGTACCACTATGTTATGTTAAGAAACCAATTAATATTTGGAAATTGAATTTATGGGTAAGTCTTGATTTCTTAGTTATAGATGAATTCTTTGCTCGTCGAGAATCGTCAACTTTTGTCGTACACTATATTACCAATAGGCAGTAGGTTAAGTACCACAAATGATCATTTGCTTGGTGTAATGAATCAAAGGGGTCATTTCGTTCCAACGATACAAACAAAATGACTCTTTTTTAGTTCCTTAAAGCTTCTTTCTTTCTTCTTTGGCGGATTGATGCAAAGGTTAATTAGTGTGAGTATGATTGGGGATTGGATGGGCTTTCTCTATGCGTGTATCAATCGAATTCCCCATGTGAGCCGGGCCGAAGCATTGTTCATGTTCTTCAAAGATTGGGCATGTGGCCCAATAACCCGAGCTCCTTGTAATCTTGTTCTTTCCCACACTACCAACAAAGGCCGTACTTAGAAAAAGAGGTCAAGATTTCCGGCAAAAGATAATAAGATAGATAACTACATTAAAGAGAACTTATAGCCTGATAGAATCATTAATTAAACCGCTGCTTGAGGGTTCTCAGAAACCAAGAGAGATGGAGGAGTTACTTAATTGGGGTTTATAGGTTATAACTTACACAAATGTTGAGCGACTACATGTTGTAAGCATTAACCTTAAACATACCTTGGAAACTAACTGAATCCTATGTTGGGTTACAACTCAGACAAACTTGGGGTTTCTGTTCCAAAATCAAAATTTAAATCTCGTAAAAGTTGTTGTGGCTAAACTATTTTTCTCTTCTTCCACGTGATGAATCCGATAAATCGTGATTTTGTCATTGTCTGAGAAACAAAATACAAAAGAATCTAGCTCATTTCAATAAGACGAACTCAATAAACTCCAATGACTCTTTTTTGAGCCATAAGGGTGATAAAATCACCCCAATAGCACAACGAAAACCCTGTTTCGATAGTTCTTTATACGTTTCATTTATAGAGAATGAAAGATTACGATGTCTTACATCGGTGATTATCATGCGGGATACAAATTTTTACATAGTTGATTATTTGGCATCTAAGAATCACATTGTTTCATTCGCAATTCTCTCTTCAATCTTTATGACCTGCTATTAGGTAATATGCCCTGGCTCTTGCCTTTGATTCTCAAAAAGAAACTACTTGGTTATATGTTTGTTGGAATTTGGAAACGATTTATAAACTACCTCATTCTAATAATGTGCACAATTTCCACACATTTCCTAATTTTAAATTATTATAAATTAAAAAAAATCATCTAATACCTTAGTTAAACAAAAAATAAAAAACGAAAAAATTAAATATTTATCAGATCTTCTGATTTGGCAGTGACGTGACGCGTTGACCGTCCAAGTTAACGGTCAAACATCGGGTTTGACCAAATTGATTATTTTGGTGGATAGTTCGGGCCAGGATGTTATAGATCGAAAAGATTGGTCAGAATGTTTATTTTGGTCAAAGTTCAGGTCATACGAAAATATTAACCCTATTTTAAACTGAATCAGGTATGAATATGATTTTGATATTCTACCTCTATTATTGTGTGTATGAGTATAAGTAAAATCCGAACTATTTTGAGTAAAATAATAAATATATACTATCCACCCCTACCCGATCCATTATCTTTGATGTGGAATTCCAATTCCCAAACTTTCCATGATTCTTATGTTTGGAAGTAAAAAGTAAAAAGTAAATGGAATTCCAAAAGGCAAAAAGTTGGAAATTCTAATTCCTACCAAAAGTGGTCGGAATTGGTGGAGGGAGTGATGGAATTAGTGGACCCCACATTAATTTTGACTCACCTTTACAAGAAAGCCCTTACTACTTTTGGATTTGAAATCACTAATACCAAGGATATTATTGTAAAAGCACTTGTAAGAAATCATTTCCATTTTTTCCAAACATAAAAAGATGAAGTCATTTCCCAAAGGGTTATAGGTATAATATGCCCCTCTACTATGACGTTTTATCAAACATGCCCCTCTACTATTTTTTACATCAAATATGTCCCTGTACTTTGAAAAAATTATCAAACATGCCCTTCTGTTAAAATTTTCATTGAAAAAATCGTCAATCGTGGTTGAACCGAGATTTAGATGACCCGACATCGGCAAATGGGATGAAAAATGTCAGTTTTGTCCCCTGTTTTATTTCCCTGGGTCTTTTCAAAGTGAAATTATTTGAATGATTTGATTATACAAAAGAACGAAAAATATTCTAAAGTGAATTTATTATGGATATTTTAGTCATTTATGTCGCCCAAACTAAAGTTCGGCCTTGGTTAACGGTTTTTGAATGAAAATTTTAACAAAAGGGCATGTTTGATCATTTTTACAAAGTACAGGGGCATGTTTGATGTAAAAAATAGTAGAGGGGCATGTTTGATAAAGCGTCATAGTAGAGGGGCATATTATACCTATAACCCTTTCCCAAACTTTTGGATTTGTTCCAAACATAAAATTTTAAAATGAATTTTCACTTGAATTCAGATTCCCACAAGAAATGGAATTCATTTTCCAACAGAATTATATCCAAACAAGCGGTAAGAGATCACCTTGAAAAATGCACAAAGTGTAGTTGATCAATTGGAAGCTTTCAAATGAAGTCATAATACTACACCCAAGCACGTCTTCATAGACATTAGACAATGAGTAATACCTTTCCAATGTGGGAACACACAAAGACATAAAATGAAAAGAAGGAGAAACCCAAACCTATAATAAAAAGTTAAAACCCAAACCATTCCACCTATAATTTCCTTCTGATTAACATATATACGACAATCAAACCTAACACGTTCCGATTAAGAGTTGTTAAATAAAGATTAATGTTTTTTTTTTTTTTTGCATAGAGCATTTGGTATTCTAAAATCTCAGTAATTAAATAATTTTTCAAAACTAAATAATTTTATATTTTGGGTACCAATTTTGAGTGCGATGATGAAGGAGGGAGCTGGAAAAAAATTTGTGCCGTCGAAGCGTCGACGAAGTTGACTTGTTGCAGTAAAAAAAGGAAGGCGTAAGATATTTCCTTTTTTTTCCCAATCCCCTGAATTTCTTCTTCCTTCGAATCAAAATTTGGACATTCATTCCCATCCTGCTTCGAATCCCTTTTCCCTTCAGCACAGGGCAGCGGCCAGAGAGGGCAGTAGGGATAAAAAAAAAACCCCTTCCCAGGCAAGTTGGCTGCTTCGCCAGCTCACTGCTGGGCGAACTGCGGGAAAAGTGGTGAAATTTACGGCGCGGATTTAGTTCAGACCGAAGATCGGGGAGATTCATTCATGGACTGATTTGGTCTGCAATGGAGTTCAAGAAGGAGAAGCTCGTGAGGTTAGTTTACTGCGCTTTTTAATGGCGGCTCTTGGTTTGTCCTTGTGTTTTCCTGCCTCTCGAATCCTTTGTTCTTTAGCATTGCTTGAGTTTTCGTGGCTCTAGATGTAATGGGTTCGGAGGAAAGTTAGGGAAAGTCGTCGGCTTTGGCCTTCAATTTTGGTGGGTTTTTGTGGAAGAAGAAGAAGAAACACATATTTGATTGCGAAGGCTTGAATATAATAGTTTGTGTAGAAGTGAACAAATTGCTTTGTGAATCACGAAAATTAGGGAGCTCTTGAACCAGCTAAAATGTGACAGTCTGCCTCTTGAGAATTCTCGATTCCTTCAGTTACTTCAGGCTTGTTTGACGTTATGTTCTGAAAGATAGAAGTTGAGTTCAGAGTTCTAACGCACCACCATTTAGAAGATTGAAGTGAAGAGTGTTTTTGTTAATCCCTGAGGGTTTCGATTTGTTAGGTTTTATCCAGAGGGCAAGCAACATGTAGGAATTTTTCCATGGGGCAAAGGTGAAGCAATATACCCTGAAAACCCTGACAAAGTCTCATCATCTTCACTGCTGATGCCGGGGAGCAAAGGAGGTGGCAAGCTGCCGGAGACCTCGAAGATGGGAGGTGGAAGGGCGACCAAGGTCTTCTCGGAGGACTATCAACCATGGCACCAGAAAATGCTGGATCCTGGCAGTGACATTGTGTTGAGATGGAACAGGATCTTCCTTGTATCATGCCTGGTGGCTCTCTTCGTCGATCCACTCTACTTTTATCTTCCTACCATAGGAGGGGATGGGAAGAGTTCTTGTGTTAGCACGGATTACAACTTGAGAATCGTCGTCACATTCTTCAGAACTGTGGCAGATCTGTTCTATCTTCTGCATGTGGTGTTGAAGTTCAGGACTGCTTATGTTGCTCCGAGCTCTCGTGTATTTGGCCGTGGTGAACTTGTCATGGATCCCAAGCTGATTGCTCGGAGGTACTTTCGATCTGACTTTTTGATCGACCTCATCGCCACTCTGCCTCTCCCTCAGGTAACCTTTGATAATCTTAGATGTTAAGATAGTTTTTGTTGTGTAACCTCTCTCTTGCGAAGAAGAACAACATCACATTGTTAGAGAATGGTATAAGATCCAGCAGAACCTTCTCCCAACAACTCGAGTTATTGGGATCAACTGGTTCTTGACATGGTATCAGAGCCTAGAACCGAAAGGTCATGTGTTCGATTCTCCACGATCCCCAATATTAACCGTTGTCTCTCAAGCACATGGTATGGTGGGCCTGTGCAAACTTCAAGCCCATGGGTTGGCTTTCGTTTGAGGGGGCGTGTTAGAGAATGGTATAAGATCCAGCAGAACCTTCTCCCAACAACTCGAGTTATTGGGATCAACTGGTTCTTGACACACATAACTTCTGATTCTAGTATTGCCATTTCCAGCTTCTTCTAGTTTATATCATTTTCCCTGTGAAAAACTCACAATGAACTGAAATGTAATGCAGATAGTTGTCTGGTTCATCATCCCCGCAACTAGAAAGCCTCGAACAGATCATAACAATAATGCGCTTGCCCTGATCGTGTTGCTTCAGTATATCCCTAGGTTATATCTCATCTTTCCCCTGAGCTCTCAAATTATCAAGGCTACTGGTTTGGTCACTAGGACAGCTTGGGCAGGAGCTGCTTACAATCTTATATTGTACATGCTGGCAAGCCATGTATGTATTCTCGTCATTTTTTATACCTAATTCTACACTTGATCTTTCAATTCTTTTTTATCGAATTAACCTCTTTTTCCAGGTTCTAGGAGCATCATGGTATTTGCTATCCATTGAGAGGCACACAACCTGCTGGAAAAAGATTTGTAGGAATGAAACAGCTCCTATTAAGTGTGAGCTTAATTACCTTGATTGCGGTGCTTTCAACCACAACGATAGGATAGCATGGGCAAAAAACACCACTGTGTTTCAAGATTGTGATCCGAGTAATGATATCGAGTTCCAATATGGATTGTTTGGAAATGCGGTGAAGAAAAAGGTTGTCTCTACTAGTTTTGTGGATAAGTACTTCTATTGCTTGTGGTGGGGGTTGCAGCAATTAAGGTATGTCTGGTTAACTTAGCACACTAAAAGAGACTTTTCCAGCAATTTTACTGGTTGTCTGTACCAGTGTGCCATATGTGAATATATAGGTTTTACATAATCTTTTTTAGACTTTTATAGTTTGCATCTTTCAACGGTTATACAATTGGAATGTTATTTTTCACAGTTCATATGGCCAGAACTTGACAACAAGCACATTCATTGGGGAGACATCATTTGCTATACTGATATCAATCATGGGTCTGGTTCTTTTTGCCCATTTAATTGGCAATATGCAGGTATAGGAAAGGCACCATCTTTGCAATTTTATAATAGAACCAATTTTATAATGGTTCATTTCAACTAATCTGTTGTTAGTTGGGGCTGATTCGTCAACCCGGGAACCCACCTGACCCGACCATTCCAATTGGAAGATGGGTTGCATCTTGAGTTTGAGCGTTTGGTTGTGGTTTAGGGTTGGATAAGAAATGGATGAGTCGAGTGGGTTGTGGATTAGGAAATTTTAATGACTCAATGAGCCTATTCGGCAAGTTGACTGAGTTGAACTAACAACTTAATTGATGGAATGAGTCAGAAGTCAGCAGTGACTACTTTTTACGCATCACTTACTTTAGTTACCATGTCCATGTTACTATTTTTAGTTTACTGACTATACATACCCCATAATCTAGTGATCATTTAACTATTAAGTATTAACCCATTTTTCTCTCTGTTCAACTTTTATCATCTGTTGTTGCTGCTGTGCATTCCCTTGAGGGTCTTTAATGGAAAATGTTTGTGTGTCACTTGCTAGACGTACCTTCAATCTCTTACAGTGAGACTTGAGGAATGGCGGCTCAAGCGAAGGGACACAGAAGAGTGGATGAGACATCGCCAGCTTCCCGAAGATCTGAGGGATCGTGTTCGGCGCTTTGTCCAATACAAGTGGGTTGCAACGCGAGGTGTCCTCGAGGAAGACATCCTACGTGGCTTGCCTACCGATCTCCGCCGTGACATCCAACGCCACCTCTGCCTCGATCTCGTTCGACGTGTAAGTTGCTAACTAGTTTATAGTTCGCATAGAACACTGCCACCATGTTTCTAGTTTTTTCTTTATTTTAGACCCAGACCTATACTGATTCGATCAGGTTCTGGACACGATCGGACCATTGACATCTGTAAATTGGTAGCATGATGATAACAAAACTTGCTATATTGGTTTGCAGGTTCCCTTCTTCTCGCAGATGGATGATCAGCTGCTTGATGCAATCTGCGAGCGCCTGGTGTCTTCCCTTAGCACGCAAGGCACCTACATTGTGCGGGAAGGTGACCCTGTGACCGAAATGCTATTCATTATTCGCGGCAGTCTCGAAAGCTCCACAACTAATGGTGGAAGAACCGGGTTCTTCAACTCGATCATGCTCAAGCCTGGTGACTTCTGTGGTGAGGAGCTCCTCGCATGGGCCCTCCATCCCAAATCATCTCTCAACCTTCCTTCATCAACTAGAACTGTGAGATCGCTCAACGAGGTCGAAGCGTTTGCCCTGCGAGCTGAGGATCTCAAGTTTGTGGCGAACCAGTTCAGGCGACTGCATAGCAAGAAGCTGCAACATACGTTTAGGTATCACTCACATCACTGGAGGACATGGGCTGCCTGCTTCATCCAAGCAGCTTGGCGTCGGCACAAAAAGAGGATGGTGGAACACACTCTCACGATGTCGGAATCTTTCCAGCAGAGGGAACTTGAGATGATGATGGCGCAGGAAGAAGAGGAACGAAGTTCAAGTGCCTCGAGAGGGAAACTCAACCTTGGGGCAACGATATTGGCTTCGAGATTTGCGGCGAATACTAGGAGAGGAGTGCAGCAGAAGCTGAAGGATGTGGATATGGTGAAGCTACAGAAGCCAGAGGAGCCCGACTTCTCTGTCGATGCTGACTAAGTAGGATGTATAATCTCTCAATCAGGATGTGAATGTGGATAGCTATATGAATATGTTTTTGCAGGATCTTACAGAGGATAACAACAGGAGATCAGATTGGTGCTCCATTGCTAGTCTGGAAATGCTTCCCTAGATTGCAGAAATGAAAAAGGTTATTGGAGACTTGGAGTGTTTTGACTTTTGAGATCCTATGTTGTAATATAAGCTGTAACTATTGATATCCCTTTGACAAGTTCATTATGCCAGGCAACGCTTACTCGAACAAGAATATAATGATTTTTCGTATGCAAATTTGTGACTCCTAAACCTTATATGAAATTTCATAAGTTGCATGAATTCATTTTTTAAGTTTGTTTCTTTTTCACCTTGGAACCTGAAGTCCACTAAATGTGAGTCCACACTCCACACTAACACTGCCCACTTCTTCTATATGGGTAAAACGGCGACGCTTCTGACTAATGCTGCAGAAGAGAAAACATGAAAGCTGGAAGTGAAATAGAGGGAACTTGTTTCCCGTTCTTAGGAAGAAGATAATGGTGATAACGGTCGGAGAAGCAACGCCTCGTCTCAAGTTCACACTCTCTCGTTTCAACCCGTCGCCAGTACTTCCAACTTCCCTCCGGCGACACACCTTCTCCTCCCGGCGAAATCCACTCAGAGCTCCCGCCGTCGTCGTCGCCGCCGCCACTACTCCCAAGCGATGGAGCACTACTCTCAGCTCCAAAAGGTAAAAGATTCTCTGTTTTCCCAAAGTTATATTGAATGAGCCAAATGGGTAGTGCACACCAAGAGTTTACGAGATCGATTAGCAGTGACTTCCAACTTAACAATGGACAAAGTTGACAGCTTTTGACTGATAATTGTTTCAACAATTGAATTTTCATTTCTCAGCTGCGAGGTTCCAGTTTTTGATCCATTGGGCATTGAATCAAATGGAGATTCTGGTCTAGGTGATGCATGGGAAAGCTTTGTCTCTTTGTTATCCCCAATTTTCGAAGTGGGTTCCTCAAGTAGTTCAAGAAAAGACAAGCCTTTACCTCGAGGAGTTGCAGGTTTGGCCTTAGATTACAGTTTTGGTTGGATGTTCTGCATTTTGGATGTGCTTCACAATGAAAGCATGGGTCTTTATCAAAATTTTGTTTTTGCAGCTGCAATTGAGGACAGTTCAATAGATTTGGGGATTTCTTCAAGGGCCCATTGCCAGGAAAGTTCCTCAAGCTATTGGGTTTCTTAGCTCTATCACGCCTTGGAATCTACATCCCACTTGGTGGTGTTAACAGGGAAGCTTTTGTGGGGAATTTAGATCAGAATAGCTTGCTGAGCACTTTGGATTCATTCTCTGGTGGAGGAATTGGTAGGTTGGGGATTTGCTCTCTTGGTATAGTTCCATTCATCAATGCACAGATTGTATTCCAGCTTCTTGCTCAAGTGTATCCCAAGTTGCAAGATCTTCAGAAAAAAGAAGGGGAAGCTGGACGGAAGAAGATTCTTCAGTATACTCGATATGCTTCGGTTGGATTTGCTATAGTACAGGTAACCTCAAAAAGAAAAGAAAATGTCAATCTGAAAGATAAGGGGCAAGTTTAGTACTATGGATTGTCAGTTGTAATTCTGGAAATGCTAGTTTTTTACTGTGTATGAATATGATTTTCTTGCCTGATTTTGATGCAAAAGTCGCGTATTTCCAAAATGCATGATAGGTTCTAACACTAAATATTCTATCTTGTCTACCTTTGATACGAAATCATGTATTTCGAGTATTATGATTCGCTGATTGCAGGCAATTGGTCAAGTTTTCTTCCTTCGTCCCTACGTCAATGACTTCAGTTCAGAATGGGCTATATCATCCGTCACATTATTAACACTTGGCTCGGTTCTCACTACATACCTCGGTGAACGAATCTCGGATTTGAAGCTTGGCAATGGGACATCTCTCTTGATATTCACAAGCATCATCTCCTACTTGCCAGCTTCTTTTGGTAGGACTGCAGCTGAGGCATTGCAGGACGGGAACTACATTGGTCTTGGTACCATTGTAGCGTCATTCTTACTGCTAGTCTTTGGCATTGTGTATGTTCAGGTAACCTGCTTTCTATCAAATCCTAATTCAATCAGGAAATAAGGGCGGTAAAGTAATGGTGATGAGTTTTTCCAGGAAGCAGAGAGGAAGATCCCGCTTAACTATGCCTCAAGATATAGCAGCAGCAGTGGTGGTAGCCTTCAAAAGTCTGCTTATCTTCCATTCAAGGTTTGTGTTCATTCTGCATGATCAGTTAGAGCTGACACAGTCTTCCCGCTTTCTTACATTCTTGTGTATTGTTTTGATCAAAACACAGGTTAATAGTTCTGGAGTGATGCCAATCATTTTCTCCACGTCATCATTGGCTCTTCCTGGCACTCTAGCCCGGTTCACTGGAATATCTGTGCTGAAAAAGGCTGCATTGGCTCTGAACCCTGGAGGTAAGATCTTTATCTGGTAGCTATAGCTGTCAATATCTGGTCATACCGATCACTTGGTTGATAACTCAAGTTAATGCTTGGCAGCCACCCAAGCTGCAGCTTGATTAGCCCACAGCTCGAACAATCTGTAATTCAATTGACCTTTAGGACCCGAATTCGGTTGAATAGTGACCTAATTTTCCCATAACAGAACAAATGCAGCCCGAATTCAACCCAAATTGCCCATCTAACCTATTACCAATCTATCTCCTTTTTCGTCCACAATGTAAAGGTTCAAATTTTTGCAGCATCAAAACTAACTGAAATGGGGAACAAAATTTCTTGTAGGTTCATTCTATCTCCCTACAAACATTATGCTTATAGCCTTCTTCAACTACTACTACACATTCCTTCAATTGGATCCTGATGATGTGAGTGAACAATTGAAGCGCCAAGGTGCATCCATCCCATTGGTCCGTCCCGGTAAAAGTACTGCAGCCTTTCTGAAAACAGTAAGTTTTATCTTTAACAACTAGAAGGGTCAATTAATCCTTGTCTTCCACAATTGTTTCTGCTACCTCATAAATATTGCATTGCTGTGCTTCCTTCTAGGTTCTAAGCAGAATTTCAGTTCTTGGTTCGGCTTTTCTGGCCGTCCTGGCAGCTGGTCCAGCCGTGGTTGAACAGATCACTCACTTGACAGCATTCCGAGGATTTGCAGGGACCTCTGTGCTAATTCTTGTTGGTTGTGCCACAGACACGGCTAGGAAAGTCGAAGCAGAGATCATATCTCAGAAGTATAAGAACATTGAGTTTTATGATCTTGACAAGTATGGCAAATGAGATTTTGGAAGGAGAGGGTGGAAGCTCTGTTGAATTGTAAAGCTATTCCAAGAGTAGTAATCCCACTTTGAAGATAGCTGTAGGGAATGAATTGTACTTGTATGAAAATAGTGTCTTATATATGTTGTAAAATAATAGTTCAGGGACCATTTTTCATGGTAGTAGAGAGTAGGGATGACAATTTCGACCTGGCTCGTTTTATCCGACCTGTTTGACCTGTTTTGGAGCGGGTCCAACCCGCCCCGTAGGCGGTGCGGGGCGGGCATGGGTAGTCTCATCGACTCGACCTGCCCTGCCTACGGACCAATTACTTAGGATTTTCTTTTTATTGCATCATATTTTAGCTATAATAAAGTTGTAGATCAGTGAAAACCTCAATTGCTCCAATAATGTGACTACAATTGTCATAATATTGTTTGTTTTATTAGTTTATAATAAAAATAATGAATATTCCTAATATTTTTCATATAAATTGCATACCCATTGGGTCGACCTGCCCCGACCCGTGATCAATTACCCGACCTGGACCTGACCTGCCACAGGACGGGTCTGGGTACCAAGAACCCCCCCCCCCCCCCCCCCCCCCCGCGGACCTGCCCCATTGCCATTCCTAATAGAGAGGTTGAAGTTGAAAGAGATAAATCGATAAGTACATGGTTGTTGTCTTCTGTTAGGTCATATACTCAATCTTGAATGAAATGTGAACACTATTTGTTCTACAATTCCTAATCTTCAATAGTATGCCTACTCCATCTGACATACATAATGTTGTAGCAATCAAATTGCAATAGTAAATCTCTATCAAGTACCCAATTGATTAAAGAACCACGATGATAACAAAACGATAAATCGATGACTCGCCTCTTGACCATGTGGTCAAGATTTCTCTCACTCCCCTACTAGAGGAATTGGTCACTTCATAGAGACTACCCTAATGAAGAAGTAAATGAGACACCACGAAAAAGGGTTCTTGTCGATGAAGTAAATGTATGTGGATAAATGTCAATTCATCAAAGGGACAAAGGGTGATGGATGGGGGGAAGTCAATTCCCATTGTTCATTGTTCATACGTTGGATGACTCATCAACCGATATATATATTTATATATGGTTAAGTTGGAGGAGGTGTCTCATTCACCTTTAGGTTTTGGATTTTGCAAACCAATAAAGCAATGGCTGCCATTTCGTCTCTTTGTTCATCTATAGGCTAATTGTTAGCCAACTTTTCAAAAGAAAGCACACTCATATGCAAAAGAAAGCAAAGGCAAAAACGGCCTCTACCTTTTGGGAAATGGAATGGGAAATTTCCCGTGAGGGGAAAGGAAAGGCTTTCCCTCCCAACAATTGCTTTCCACCGGCCCAATGCCCTACTTCTCACGATTCCAAAGGGTCAAAATCACCCAAACTTTCCCAACGAATTAGGGCACTCATGATATCCCTTTGCAACAATGAGAAGATGCCACCTCTTGCTAAATTGTGTGCATATGTGTTATTGGAATTGGACCCTTTTTTAGGTAGATCCAAAAGGTGACTTAAATTCGGGTTCAAGTAATGTCAAGATTGAAGTTTGGAGATTTTTTGTGACATTCGTAAGGTAATCGGTTAGAAGCGATTGTGTTCTTCTTTAATTGATTTGTATATGTAGGTTGTAGATGGAACACTAATAAGAATCAGATCATGCATGGGTTAGTATTTATACCCTTTTGTGAAAACTCTCACATGTTAATGCAAGAGTTCAATTGTGTATCGATTTCGCCTCCTTGATTCTTTTTTTTTTATAATGGTGAATTTATTAGAAATAAACTGAAAGTCACAACAAAAAGCAAAGGCCAGCACAAGGTGTGCGCCTCAGAAGGAAGAACCAGAAGAAAAAAAATAGTCCGGAGAATGGATCGATCCAGTTGGACTTATATTAGAGATTCACATTGGATCTTCAGGTTCAAACTCATTGAGAAATGTTTAATAAAGAGTCAGAGGATCGTATTAATCAGGTTGTAAAAAGTCTTTATCTCCCTCTCGAGATTGCCTGTAACAAACTTGATCTCTCCAGGGTTAGAGTAATTATAATTGAGTTTTCTCTATATCAATATCTCTATTTCTCTTTCCTTTTTCAGATTAATCTCATCTAACTTTGAACCTCCGACATCAAAACTTATCTTTTGTTATTGAGATATTCAACCCAATAGTCAAATGAACCTATACTTTTACTAACAATACCCTATTGATGTGGGTAGGTTATTTTTATGTAATTTTCTACTTTGGAAAAAGGACAAGGCTTATAATTCAATTTCCTACACTGAAACCCACAACAAAACTTACACACATTTGGAAGCCACAAGTACACATGCAAATCATTGAATATTATGAAAGCTTGTACATGCACAAGGATACAGCCAACAAAGTACAAAGAAGTCTTTACTAGACCACAAAACAGCACTAGCTTGTACACTATAAATTAAGACTGGTTTAACAACTCCCTTAACTTATATTATTGTATGTACTGAAAGAGCCAAAGATGACATTGGAAAAATAGTTGTTTTCCCCTATAGAGGAGGGTATTAGTTGAATACTATGAATTCAATCAGGGTTACGTTGCTCAGGTTAAATAAGATATACCTGACAACAAAGAGTAGTTTTTATGGTAGTGCCACGAAAATATTAAGATAGTACTGTGCTAATATAATCTTTTGTACATTGTTCTGATTGATCGAGCTGGTATATACACTACATACAGTACACAAGGCATGTTTTTAACACATCATCGCTGTTTGGTTACATAATGAGTTTGTGAAGCCATTGAAATAGTTGCTTGTAAACCTAAAACGAATGTCTGCATATGTTTGATCTGAATCGTTCTATAAACATCGATAATCAAATTTCAGAAATTGGTTATCAAACAATCTATAAATGACGATAACATTGTTTTATACGTCCAAAATGTGAGTTACTCCCAAAACCCTGAACCCAAAACCTTTGATATGAAAAGAAATGATTGGGACAATGTAATTGACTAGTTCTTAATTAACAATTACCCATGAAATGGGCAAAGGCAGCCCAATTTGCCGACTTTTGAGTGGGAGATAAGGCCACCACATGGCATTATACTAAAGAAGATTGAGTTATAAATCTGGCCATGAAGGTGGTGAGTGAGAGGGAGGAAATTAGGGAGATAGATAAATAAAAAAGGTCATCATCAAGCCATACAAAAATAGCTACTTGATAGCAAGGAAAAGCTCCCCCCACTTTTAATCCTTTGTCTTCATGCATAGAAAAGGTTTTGGAATAACTATATGCAATGATTCCCTATAAGTATTGTAGAAAAGAAAATAGCAATTGCTAGCAATAGAATCCAATCATTAGTGCCTTAGTGGTATATAGAGAACTTAGGTAAATTGATATCATGAAGAAAAAAAAATTAAGGGACTCAAATCGCGACTTGAAGGATCGATGACTGTAAATATTTGTTAATCCATCGTATAATTCTTTACAAGATGTTCTATAGGAGAAAGGGATCTTATGAACCATGAAGTAGTAACATCCAACGAGTCGTTGCTATATATGCATATGTAGCACGATGATATTGTTAAAAGACAAAGCAAAAATCTCTTTACAAGGAAGGATTTTCTTCTTTCAATATTCTTGATGTTTTGTGTGTCTTCCTATTCTTCTATGTGTTTACTTCTTCAATCAAAGGGCTAAGTTTTTCCTAATTTGCTTATGTCACTTCCTAACATTTTAGAATGTGACCACTAACCTAACCACTCATATCTTTCAGTTACTTTTTTTTTTGTCCCTTTGAAGAGGATTAATGGACTATATAAAGCATTTCGGTTGAACAACTTTCACCAACTCTAAAAAGTTGTGGGAGTAATTAAATGGGGCACTACTACTACGTGTAACCCAATAATTTATATTGGGAAAACATCCTTATCCTTACTTAATATTATAGGAATTCAAAACTAAATCTTTGCCACATAAGCACATGGATGACTCTCATTCATCCATGTTGGACAAGTTCTAATTATAATTTTTTTTTCTTTACACTTAAAATCATCATTATTATCATTAAAATGTGCATTAAGTTAATAACAATGAATGCAATCTTTTGGTTTGTTTCTATTGGTTTTCCAAGTATAGATGATCTCTCTAAAATTAAAATTGGAAATTGGAAAAAATAAAAGATAAAAATTGGGTCAAGTCCTATAAAACAAACAAAACTCTCTTCTTATTCACTCAAAATTTTGAGATTTCTAGCATGTCTATTTTCTTCTCTGCTATTTTATGCATAGATACATCATACATGTAAGGAAAATGGTAAGACATATAGAGTTTTTTCATTGCGTCAGTTACAAGAGGCAGCAATTAGATGAGAAACAATTGAGTAGTTGTAACATATTTTTCCTATTGGCAAAAAAAGTTCTTATCATTGAGAATACGAAGTAAAACAAGCCAAGTAGTGACGACAACTCCCTATTCTCCCGTGATCCGCAGCTGATGACTGACCTCTCTTCTCCAACGGTATTTGGCTGCTTGTGATTAACCGGTCGGGTTCTACTCTTCTTTCCATTTTTAAGTACTTTCATATTATGGTGGCAGGGTTTTAAATTGCCCTTCTTGATCTACCATTGTCTTTCATCTTCACTTTAGGTATTATTCAAAACTAAATTACTGTCACATCAGCACATGGATAGCTCTCATCCTTTCATGGTGGGCAAGTTCTAATTATAAATGACGTACCTTATGTTAACACTTTCAATCGTCATTATCATTAATAACACATAAATCTAAGTTAATAATAATGAATGCAACCTTTTAGTTTGTTTCTATACATTTTTTTTTCCGTTTAGATTAGCTCTCTAAAAATAAAACCTATCATTAAAAAGAATAAAATTAATTGATTGGGTCAAGCCCTATAAAAACAAACAAAACTCTTTTCTTATTTGCTCAAAAGTTTGAGATTTCTAGCATTTCTCTTCTATATTATTCATCGGATGCTAAAATGGAAAACAAACTTGTGAGGGTTGTCACCTTACAATGTTCCATCAGAGGATGTTTTTATATTTATTATGTTCATGAGTGACTTGCTACTAGCTAGCTTTACAATGATGATATGGTCAGTAAGTAGTAAGTAGCAGGGGGTTATAAGTAAAATGGATGTGGGGTTTTATAAAGGTCACAAATAAGAGATAAAGTGGTAGTGGTGGTCATTGGGTTGTCTATGTCGATGTTCTTTCAATTTCTTAAAGTGTGCAATGTCATTTGTTTGTTTTCTTAGCGTGCATTGATGCATCAATCCAGTTCATGATTGAGGAACTCATAAGATGGAACGAATTGAGTTGTATTGAAGTTTGCAACTTTCACTATTCGTCTATGTTGTTATTAGGTAAAAAAAACATTCGTTTTGCAGAGGATATTTAGCCCTCTACTAAATATCAATTATATTTATATGCGGTTAAATTGCTGAAAATATTCTTTTAATAAATTAATGATAGTAGTTAGTTCGATTTCTGGTTGATTATGCTAGAACATTGCTAAGGTAAATTAAAATGGATAAGCAGAAGATTGATTATGTGGATGCTAATGAGATTTCTTGCTCTATCAAAATTACATGGATAACTTATATCGCATGATATTCATAGTATCTAAAATAATAATAAAAAATAGTAGACACAAAATAGTTGACATAAATAATTTAATAAAATTAGTGTTTCATTAATAAATGGAAGATACAAAGGGTGAAGGGTCAAAGAATATCTTCTTGTGAAATAAGGTAAAGGAGATTGGAATTTTCATGTATAATAATGTAACAAACATGAATTATAAAAAAATAAAATAATACAATGAAAAATAAATCAATTTCGACCGCCCAACGGGCGGATAAAAAACTAGTAAAGAAAAGAAGCTTAACAGTTTGCTTAGTTAACTAGAAATTTGTCACTTACCTAGTCTAGACCGGCTTCATAAAGCATTGAAAAAATTATTGCTTAATTTATATAAAGTAAGAAAGCCATCTTTAAAAATACAATTTTCAGATAATAAAGGAGGGCTCATAACTTCATATGATAAAGTATGGAGATTGACATAGTATATTCGTAGGTTAAAACTTCAATATTTTGTTATCTTTGGAAATATCTTCTTTGTGGGAATCGGTAGAGGTACATGCACTAGTCATTTGCTCATATTTTCTCTTAAAGTTTTAGATAGTAAAGGATGCCTCAAATGGTAAGGCATGGAAGTTGATATGTTGTATTTGCAGACTCAATTGAACGACCTATCATTTTAGGACGATCTCCTTAGTGGTCGTCGGTAGAGATATATGTTCGAATCATTCTTTTTTTTTGTCTCTTAAATATAGTGGATATTCAGGAAGATCATCATCGACACATCAGACATAACGCTGAAATTTTAAAAGATATACTGTTTTTTTTCTTACAATTACTAAAACTAATTTATGAAAATCATGGGGTTAACTTTAAGCAAGGTGAAGAGGTAGCCCCCAAATTAAATAAGGACACATGAACTTATGGGGTCAAGACACATAATAATGCAACTCTTCCATAAAATGGGGGTGTGGGTTTTTGATGTAGCCATGAGTGCAACATTTCTGTCTCTCTATATATCTTTTGTTAACAAAATAATGATAGAAAAAATTGTCCTTTCAAACTCCATATATCTACTAACAAATAAATGAGTAATGCTATAAATAAATAATGTCAAGTCTTGTATCTCTCCACCAATTTCATGCATTAATGTTTGAACGTGGACCATCCTTGTGTAGAAATGTGACCATGGATCTTATCTTTAAATGGGTATACTTGTGTCGTTAGAAATTTTATGGATATAAATACTCAAAATACACAAGCATGAATATTTAACACCAATGTCTTTAACGTTGATTGTATAAATTTATGAATTTCGAATAGGAGATCGTTTGAAACTCTGAAGTATGCCTCTCACATTATTATAACAACTCATAAACTATAGTAAATAGTTAATAAGTCGTCATTCGGGTGATTAACAACTCTAATCTTCTGGACGAACATCTTTAACACCCAAATCCCAACAAGACATATATATCTAAGAAAGAGAGAATTGATTGGGGGGAGTAGATGAAGATGAACAATACTAAATGAGAACATGGGGTTTTAATTAGAGTTGGAAGTTGGAACAAGTTATAATATTAGAGTAGAAAGGAAATGGGGCCATTTGGTCATCAATTGCCAACATCTATCCATTCAACCAAGCAATGTGCTAAGATTTTTTGTCACCATTCATTAATTAGGCGGCTGCCCTTTTGGCATTTGGGGTTTGGAGGGGGCTTCCTTGATATCTGGACTCGGCGGCTTTAACTTCTCAAAGTTTGTGTACCTAATAGCAAATAGCCACTTGTCGGCTCTCTCCTCAGCAAAGGTGATGAAGTGCTCTCTCATGGTTCCCAAGTTATGTCTTCATTCCATGAACCCCGAGTTTGGCAAGTTCCCAAGGTTTCCATGTTTGATATTATATATGATGAGGTAGTCACGTGGGAGTTGCATGGGATGGGAGGCTCTATGAGCTTCCTAATTTCGATTTGGATTGATGTATATAGAACTTTTGAGGACGTTATGATTGTATATTGCAAACATCGATTTTTTGGTATGCATCGATTGTTTAATTCGGTAGGCATGAAAAGGCTCGTTGAAGACTGATCTTGATCTTCTCTTCGGTAATAATTTTGTGTTCGTTAGACAATACTAATTCACTTTTTCAAAGGGGAACTTTTGAGTACTTTATGATTGAATATTGCATACACCGATTTTTTATTTAAACGAAAGTCGCTTATATAAGCTTGAAGCAATACATGTTCGAAATATCATGTTTTTAACAAATGGGGTATTAGAGATTTGAAATCAAGAGCTATCGATCATCAAAGGCTCTGATACAATGTTAAGAATAATGAATCTTGTACCACATATTAACAAAGTATATGAGAGATATTGTTGCTTCTAACTTCTCACCGCGACTGTTTGATTAGGGTGAGTACGCAAGAGGTAAGTTCGAGATACGACAGTTGGTAACTTTATAAGGTGACGTTATGGAATGTAGTGGATAGTGCGAGAATCAAATCGAATCCCCATTTGAAAGAGGTTGAGAATAAGGATCATAATCATATTAAAAAGCATTTGTGTTGATACGATTTGATATTGTTTGAGTTTATTTGAGGTATTCTTCTCTTTTTTTTATGAAGACTCATAAATTGAATTCACGCCGAAATCGAGAAAATCGAATCAAATTATATACAATACAAATATCGAGAAAATTGAATCTAATTACACATAGCCGTCATTGCTTATTGCGAGTGTATTGTCCTATATCCCTGTTGCCTGCTGCACCTAACAGCAAATAGCCACTTCTTTCTCCCAAAGACTTGATTGCCTGCCAAATTTGGCAAGGTCATGTTTTGGCATGTGGGTGTTTTCTTTTTGAGCGAATATCACAATGGAATTGGCTAACCATATACATTGTGTATCTAAGTGGTGATAGTATTGACATCATGATTAGGAGATATGTGTTAATCGATAAGATACACGTTATAATTTCGAAATATGTTACGTATTTATATTTGTAGTACTTTAAAGAAGAAACATAAAAAGGATTTATATATGTTTTCAACTGTTTGATTAACTACAAGTTGATAAGATGAGACAATCAGATTGAATAATTGCGAAGTTTTGATTTGATTGATGATATGTTATTATTAATAGCTCAATGGGTGACATCATTGAGGTATGTAACTCATTCCATTCATATTTGCACAAGTTCATCATAACCGGCAAGTAAATCAATTGTTAATGTCATGGGCCATCAGGATTCGAACATTAATCTCTGATACAAGATCTCAACAAAGAGAGCCAGGGGCAAAGAAATTGTGGCAATGAACATTGTATGATGATGATGTACATGCAATACAACAACTGAAGAAACAGAGAAGCCAAAATGCCTCAAAATATTGCAGCTGGGCAGTTTTCTCTGTCTAGTGTAGTAGTAGTAGTAGCAGCAATAATCAATAGGAACATCTATGGAGCAAATACAATTTACTTGGACAACTTTTCCTATAAACAAATATCAAAATTTCTTTGGGAGAAAATTACAAAGGGCGATATGGTGGGGGGAACAATAGTGTGATGAAATGAAAGATCAAAACCAAAGGCCCTATTCCCAGATCCAAGAGCTGTGTTCCAACAAGCCCTTGGCCAAAAGATTTTCTGATCCTATTTACATTCTCTATGTCACAGAATCATAAAGATTGTACCTTTATCATTCAACGCCCGTCGACCATGACTCTCACACTACCCGGCAGCCAATCTCCAGGCCCTCGGCTATCTGAATCAGTATCCGGTTCAAGCCGAACAACCATGGATTGATCTGTTCCAAACCTCATCCTCAGTTGGCGCAAGCTCGGGACCAGGACTTTCTCTGTCCATTCCTCCAACCCATCAAACCCCAAACACAACCCACCGGAGATTTTCTCGAGTGCGTCTACTTCAATCTCCAAGCAATTCCCTTCCCCAATAATCGACGATGCTCGGTTGGTGATCGAATTCAAGACATCCTTTCTGATCCCACCGAAATCCACCGGCTTGAACACTATACAATCATCAAACGAATCGAGTAGATCTGAGGGTAGCTCCGAGGCAGTTGGTGTTGTTAGTACCTTGCTGCTCAAGTAATGCTCATCCTCATGGTCAACTGTTACATCACTCAAGTCACAGTTGATGTCTGCAGCTTCATTCAAGTCGAATGTCAGATCTTCTCTTACACGCCTACGTTTAGCTGTCTTCCCACAAACAGAGAGCCTCAGCTGCCAACCTCCATTTACAAGATTTGCAATCTTCTTTTCGTCCAATGTAAATCCATTGGACAAGAACTTGAGACTCTCCGGCAGCCAGCTGGCAGTGAGGATGAAAATCACATTTCCCAAGCTGATTTCCCTGCCATGGGAGTCAGCAAGTCGACCCCTTTCCATAGCTCGTTTTATACTCCCCTTCACCAACATATCTGCCTCATCAATATCCTCGAGCACTACGACTGAAAATGGGTTCCTTCTTACTGCCTCTACTATTCGATCCATCACAGTTTTACCACGGAAGTTTACCTCATCATTATCACGACGTGAGCCCAGTCGGACTGTCACTGGGTTGGATTGGCGAAGGAGATCCGAGAGAGCAACTGCCATCTTCTTCTTCCCGATTCGGTCTGGCCCTGTGAACAATAGCCAGATATCACCTTTTGAAGCATTGCCCCTTCGTTTTCCACTCCCTAATTTGCACTGTGTCATCACTGTGGCAACTGCTGATGCTGCATCTTGCTGCCACCATACTTTCTCCATGAGTCCCTTGACAAGTTTCTTGAACGAATCAGCATCCAATTTGTTGAGCAGTTTACTAATCTGAAAGTCATGCAAGTTCTTTGGTTCCAACTCGGGAGCAGGACCAGGAGCAGCAGCAGCAACAGCAGTGCTCAAAAGGTCCTTGGTAATGGCCTGAGCAGCCACTTTAGGACGCCCAAGAACCAGCTCGGTTCTAACAGGGCTTGTAGGTGGACTAAGTACTGGCCTGGTGGAGTTTTGTTTAGGCAAGAGGTTGGTATGCAGTTGCAAGGTAGGGTTTCCTCCAGTCAAACCGATCTTAGGCACACAAGGCACAAGGGTTCGATTAAACAAACTCGGCATCGGGACAGCAGTAGCACCACCAGACTGAAGATTCCTCTGTTGGTGATGCTGATGGAAGCCGGGGTGAATGCGTAAGCACGTATCGAGCCATTTCTTCTGCAGCAACTCTTGGTCCTTGGTCTACATAGTAACAAAGGGATAACAAAAAACATAAGTTCAATCTGCATAGTTCACATTTTGATTATCATCTAAGCATTCACAAACATTAGAACCAGAAACAGAACATACCGCTGAATCATCTTTAGTATTCGTGGCGTTCTTCAACCATGGTGGCAAAGACTGCTGCTGCTGAGTTGCTTCCAACTTAGCTTCTCCAGTATAAGGTTTCTCAACAAGCTCCTTCGGGACAACTTTTGCCAGTTCCTGCTCGAAGTTATGCTTGCACTGTGGGCAGAAATTTGCTGACTTTTTCACAGTATCAAGATTATTATCAGACAGACGTTTCGGTGGAGCAATCGACACCGCGGGAAACCCCTTCAATGGTGATGATGATGACAATGACTCAAGCGAGTTGCCAAGAAATCCAGTATTCCCAATCCTGAATGCCCATACCAAAACAGAGAAAGTTCATTACTACAGGATATTCTCCTAGAAATTACCCTAAAGGAGCAAACTTTTTGTGCCACCCACTAAGCTAAACCTTGTAAATGACAAGATTCTCGACTTTCCAACAGAATAGTATTACAGTAAAGTGATGAACTTTTTACCTGGGGAACAATCCATGGAGAGGAGCTCTGTTAGTAATTGGAACAGCCTGAAGATCCCAATCGTTCTCCATTGATGGATGGTAAACTTGGCATCTCAAGTAAGTCTCACAAGTAGCTGTACCAATCAACCAAATCTTTTTCCCACTCTGCCTAAACTTCGCCACCAGCTTCCCCATCTCGGCGACGGCGGTCTTGCTCAAATCCGACCCAATTTGCTGCTCCACCAGCCATTTCAAGTCGCCCAAGTCAAGAATCGCACCTCCAGAACCCGAACTCGCAATCCGGGTCTCCACCAACCCGGCCAGCTCACCAATCCTCGAACTAATCTGGGATTTCTCGAGGAACTCCTTCTCCAAATGAATCACTTGAAGATTCTTCAACAAACCCTCGTCCCCAATATCTTTACTTTCGATTACCCTCTTGAGAACTTCTTTAACGACCATTTCCGGCTCCGATTCCCCAACCAAAACCGGGTTCCGCTTCCTGCTTCGGAGCAGGATGTCCATGACCCGATTCGCTTCCTCGCTCCGGCCCAACTGCCCTGCTCCTCCACCCGCCGCCGCCGTCCCCTGCAACCTGGGATTCGCGTACAAATTCCGGTTCCCCGTCACCGTGGGAACAGGGACGGACCCCGGCGGCCGGAATCCCTGCCCAATTTGGCCGGAATTAGGTTGCGGAGCTGGCGGCGAGTTCAGAGACTGTTCAATTGTGGCTTTCACAGCCGGGCTCGAGAAGCTGGCCTCCCTCATGACCCGACTCACGCTCGGGTCGTCGAGAATCGAGATAATCAGCTGCTCCAGCTCGACTTTCACGGCCAGCAGCGGCTGCTGCTGCTGCTCGGGGCACCCTCTTCGCTGATGCGCCTGGGCGCGCTTCAGCGCCGCCATTAGCGCATTGGAAATAGGCGGGTCGGGCTGTGAACCGGGACCCGAATTGGCTCCCGCCGCCGTGGGCAGCCGCTCGAGGGCCACGCTGAAGCAGAGCTCCAGAGCTCGGCACTGGAGCGGGTGGGAGGAATTGGGGTGGGATTTGATGCAGGCCTGCCGGAGGTAGCCGGAGGGGGAAGACAAAAGAGTCGCCGCCACATGGAGCGGCGTCGTCTGGCCGTGGTTTCGCCGGCCGGCCTCGGCAATCGAGTGGTTCAAGACGTTGGCCGCCTCCGGCGTGAGGGTTTGCTGGATCGTGCTGAGCCCAGCTCTCATAGCTGACTATTTACCCGGAAATTCGACTCCTTTTTATCGTCGGAAGTGGCGGTGGCGAGCAATGATTAGTGGGTCGTCGTAGTTTCTTCGATTTCTTATTTCCGGTGAGCTGAGAGAGAAAGAGAAAGGAGTGGCCTTTGGCCAGAATGAATTGAGGGAAGAGAGAAGGAAGAGGAAATTTTGGAGCAGAGAAATGGAGAAAAAGGCCTTTTTGAGTTTGGCAGCTTACAAGGGATCTATATCTTTCTTTTTTTCCCCCTTATATATATTACTTATCTCTGTTATTGTTTATATTTGTGATTTATGATTTATCTACCTCAGTTTTACAAATTCACTCTTTTTTTTTAAAAAAAAAATGGGTATTTTTAAAAAAATGAAGGGAAATTATGGGTAGAAGAGAAGTGAACAATTCAACGGGAAAAGGACCCTCCTTTGCTTCACAAGAACCATCTCATAATTACCTTTTCCCACTCTTTTATTTTCCTTTTTCATTTCTGTTATTTTGTTTTGTCTTTGGCCAAGCTTTGATTAATAGTGTACACCCACCACCTTTCTTATTTGATGCGGCCCAAGTCGGCAAAATGAAAGAAATATCACGTCGGATGTTAATCATCAGTTCAAATCAAATACATACACATCGAATCCGAAGATAATATAGTAACGTTTTAATATCGTAAAGAGTTAGATCGTAAATGTTTTCTCTTTATGTACTCATTCTCATTCATGTTTTTTTATCAATTGTTTGTAATTGTTAACTAAATATTCGAACAATCATCGTGGTCGACATACTATAATTTCTCTTAGAGCTATTCTTATGAATTTGTTTGTCGTTAAACAATCCCAGAAATTACCCACCTGGTTTTTTATTTACCGTGGCTGTAATCCAACAAACAACAATGAAAGGAGACAGAAGAAGATTGAAGAGAAAGGTAAAGAGTAAAGACAAGAGAATTTCTGGAAATTTGGTGTAGAGGGAATTGTTTTAAATGAGGAAAAAGTGTATGAATGAGGTGAGAAGAGATGAAAAGGTAGATTCCCACTGCAAAGATTTCTGTAGTAAAAAAATATGCTTTGTTGGGCAGAGAGTGAGCAATCTGCATGCCTTCCTCTATACCTCCATTCCCTTTTTCACCTTTTTGTATGTTGTTTTTTATGTCTCTTAGTTTGTCATCATCCCCTCCATTCATTTATTCTCCTTGCATTATTATTAGTTTGTTTACATTACACTTATTATTAACTACTCATTCCCAAAAAAAAAAGGTTATATTTCTCCAATTAATACATGTGGTAGTGAGTGAGCTCAAGGCCATATAAATGTAGAGTGTATGCATTTTATCTCGAGAATACGTGATTTCTGATACCATGTATCTTGTTTGTTGAAGTTGAAAATTTTGACATATCTTAATTACCACATGAGCCATAATGTTGAAGTATTTTTTTACTATTGTGGACTTTTCAATGTATATATGATCCACCTATTGATTTTATGTCACTCTGTATCTTTTAAAGTCATTAGACTGTGCAGGTGGTTGGTTTTAAAATAAGAGTAGGTTGATTTTTCACATTTAGGTTTATCATAAAAAAAAAACACAAACTAATTGAAGTTTTCTAGTATTATGAATTTCAATAATAATTTTTTCTCAAATTATTGAACTTTATTTGCTCGATAACATTGCCCCTGGCTCCTATAACCCCTAATTATTCGTCCTATTTCATTTTGTAATTGTATTATTCGCTCTCGCTAAAGTTGGACAAATAATTTATTGCTCAACATCGTTCGATTGCATATATCAACGAGATGAAACGTAATGAAGGATCAGTGGAAACTCTCTTAAGTACCAAAGCACCCTCTTGTTCTACCAAAAAAAAAAGCACCCTCTTGGAGTAGAGACTTACTGATTAATAATTCCAAAAACTAATCTGTGTATGTCCTCATTAATTAGCACTCAATCATCCCTTTTAGGATTAATTAAATAAGTGAAGAGCATTGTGGATCCTTTAGCTACACTAATCTTATGTGTACACATATTTGCCTTTTATGTCACATTTTTTATTGTTATTATCTTAATAATTAGTTTATATATAGGAGGAAATAAAGAAATAGAGAAAGGAAAAAAAGAATTTGAACTGCTCTACTGTCTTTATGTGCAGAAATGGGAGATAATGGAGTGAGCTAGGGATGAAAAGGTAACACCTTTTCCCCTTATTATTAATTTTTGTGTGATCGTAAAGCAAACCATTCTCCAGATTATATTCCAACGAATCTGTGACGACATGAAACAATAAAATAAACAACAGATTCATTAGCAGGTGGAGTTCATTTGTTTGTTTTTTTTGTCCTTTTAAACTTTTAGATATGATTTGTTTTTATTTAATAATGGGGTTAGTGATATTGTTAATATCCCCCTACATTGTGTTGTTGTGACAAACAAATCCTTATATTAACGAGTTTTAACCAAAGAGTTCGTGCAGTACTATGTGTTTTATATCTTCTTTAAGTTTCTTTATTGAAATTTTTATCCGATAACTTATATACATGCTATATATATGTTGAACATCTTTCGTTTAATTTCACAAGTTCGACTCATTCACTAATCTTGAATCAAAAATGAAAAAAAAAATGCTATGTGAGTCAAATTTGAGGGGAAATCTTAATTTTTTTCAAAGTGAATTGTCTAGTCAGGGCGTGCTTACAAAGTTCAGATCGATCTTAAGGACCAACTACTTTATAAAATACAAGCAGTATGAGGTTGTTGTTGGTTGAATTTCCGAGAACTCCGAGACCAATCTCGTTAACCAAAATTAAGCCTCGGGAACCCATCGGTGGCTCAAGTGAACCCCCATATAAGGATTCCCTAGCTTTCCAAGTAAAAAAGAGGATCCTTACGACTTCGTGAGTGAAACACATTCGATTGATCTCGCCAAATTTTCTTTTATCTTCTCTCTACTTCATTCCTTATATCTCAAATCGACTTGATGAGCAACAAAGAGGAGCTCACCGCTAGTATATTTTTTCACACATCTCATTTTGCCATCTCGACAAGGTTCCTCCACCATGAGCGGAGGCGCGTATCACCACGTGCCGCCTCCTGAAAGCAAGGCGGCCTATGAGGTGAAGCCGAAAGAGGTTGGAAAGCCGGCAGAGCTTGGAGGAAAGTGGGAGGCGGTCGTATATATTATATAATAATAAGTATATTTTACATTTGCTAATTATAAAAGCAAACTGCAGGCCAAGTAATTGTTTAATCATAGTAATAACTAAACTAATAAGAGCACTAATTAGCATTAAAGAAAGAAACCCTTTCATTTCCTACCTTTTTGCCCTTGTGGTCATTTTATACTTTTTTACACGAAAGTTAGTTATCATGTACATATTTGACTTTTGATTTTACCATTAATTAAGATTAATCGATGAAGATTACTACTAATCAAGGCGAGCCGAGTGATGTGTATATGAGCTGTGGGAAAATGATGGATTTTGGGTTTATTTATTTGGGGTAGTTAGGTGTTGAACCTAATAATGCAATTTGCCGATCCTTTTCTCCTTCTATAGCGGCCACCCGTAATTCAAAAAGGCAAAATGTGTCCATGTCTTGAGCAACTTGGGCAAGTGAATAGTTTATAGATAGATAGGGCTCAATGGCTAGTGCCAAGGAACCGTTTGGTGGGCAATCGGCTGCCGTGCCGATGGGAGTATGTAGACGTCAGAGTATGCTGATGTTGTAGGATTTTGCGGATTAAGATTTTACTATTGCAAAACAGTAACGGTGAGACATGTTATATGTACTTATGGGAACTCTGAACGTAACACAAATTTGATTGAGTGGTTATGGTATCGGACTTCGAACTCGAATATCTTGTTTTCAGAATCCGTAATGCGCAGCCGTTCTTTCCTCTATCCTTCCCCTTTGAGGCACCCTTAGAAACAAAGACAAACATAATAACTGGTCAAACTTGTGCACTATTTATCAACCTTTCCAACTAGTCTTGTGCATTAAACAACTACATGTGTAGACATTGCATATGTTGAGAGGTCTAGAGTCAAGTAACCACAATTTCGTCACACGAGAGGGAAAAAGGTTCCATTGAATAACAACGGAGGAAGGTCGGCAGAAGCATAAAGAAACAAAGAAACAAACATCATATATGGTGAAAAACAATGGGTGGGAAACTGTCCACCAAAACTTGTATATATTACAATATTTTTTTTAGGGTTCCATTTGTCTTATTTGATTCAAGGGCAAAAGTGCTTTATTGATTCATTTTAGAAATTGTTGGAAATTCCAAAATCATCCCCTTGTTTTGGTTCATTTTGGACCTTTCGATTTTGGTCCAATATCAAGTTGACCTTGATGAAAACCGACTCAATAATACATAATTGGGTGGCTTGTGAGAATATACATATCCAGCTACCTAAGAGATACAATGTAATTAGATTAAGTGTAGTTCAGCCGGCTAGGCTATTTTTAGTTATAGTCCAAGTGTAGGAAGGACAATAAACACAAAGTAAACTAATACATTTGTGGCTAAATAATCATTAGGTCGTTAATCACAATAGAAAGACCAAAAGAGAACACTCAAGAAAGAGGATTTTGCATCGAAGTACTTTTGGCTTGGCTTGCATAATATGTTGAAGGTGACATTGTCTAGAGAATAAGACTTCATTGCAAGTCAACCCTAATTGTGAGATATAATAAATTGAATGCTAACATACAACCATTTCCTTGAATGTTGAGATTATCAATCAAGATATATATGTGGAGTACAAAGAACTCTTCAACACATATGTATAATATTAGAATTCAATGGGACGTTGCAATCTCACCGGAAAATGCAGGAAAATAACTAGGGAAGAGTTAATCACAATATATTCAGATCTGTTCTCCGATCTCATAATCGTATATTATATCATGCGTTAAAATAAATCCATGTTATGTCCTCGTTATCAAACGTGTACTTGTGATTGATTGATTTTATCATTGTATGTCTGTAACGAGTAGATTAATATTTACTTGGTACTTTATAAGTTGAAGGAAATCCCGATTACATATAGCTTTGTCCTCAAACCATCCAATCATAATAGTTCTCTTTAATCCAACCCGAAAAACATATACATAACCATCTTGGTGCTTGGATGGTGTACCATTAATGTATCAAAAATTATGAATCTACTAGATTCGGCTTTTTGTTCAATCCACGATGCTACCAATAAACACATCATG